TTTATTTTTTTATATGTCCAATATTAAGAAAAAGAATAGAAATATTTTGTAAAAGTTTATTCTCGATAAACACGTAATTTAATTTAATTATAGATAATGAAATAATTTTTTATTTATATTTGACATTTGTATAAAGAAGTATCCATGCGTTCCGTTAGACGCTACGAAAGAAGCGTTTGATTGACCAATCAGAGCGAAGCAATCTTTGCGCCTTCCGTTCCGATTGGTCAAAAACAAACGGTTCAAAACTTTAGTAATTTGTATAGTATTTTCTGCTATGCAGCAGAGAAATCGGTTGGTAATATCCGTTATTTGCGACTTTAGATAAGAGGTCTCTTTCGTCGAATTTTAACGGTCGCGGAAAGGGGATCTACTTTCAAAAACTCAAACGCGTTACATACGTTCGTTCATACGAACCGATCGTCACTAATCGAGTTGTACGCGTCAATTTTCTCGAGTTGTGCGCGTTATCGTTGATCACGAGTAGATCGCCAAGTGACATGTGAATTATAGTATAAAGTTAAGGACGAAACGACATAATAAGCGTCACAAAATGACTTCGTTGTCGCTTTTAGCAACCTACGACGAATTGGTGAGATGTTCGAATGTCCTCATAAATGGATCCTGCGAGGAAGGTACGTCCGTTAATAGTAGCTATAAGGAATTAATATCGTTACATTTATATTTTCGATATATTACACAATAGTGTTTGTAGAATTTTCTGAAATGTGATTTTGCTCCAACATTGCTTTGCACAGAATTCCTGCAATTTGCTTTAAATCAAGAGGAGATGAGACAAAAATGGTTGGCATCAGAACAAGAATGCCAACGGCTTCATTCAGCACTGGACAAGGCTCAACACGAGATTGCAGGATTGGATAGAAAACTACGTCACGCTAGAAGAAACTTGGAGGAGGAGAATCGCAGACGTCGTATTGCTGAGGAGCAGAAAGATTTATTGGTAGCTGAAATATATTCTGGAACAGACATTATATTTCTAAAAATATATTTTGGCTCTAAGAATTTATATTCATATTTATTTTCCAGGAGAAACAAATCGCTACCGCCAGAAACTTTTTGTTTACTGATGGAGGTAGAAATCTAAATGATGAAACTAGAGAAAAACTGCAGTTTCTTAATAATACTTCTTTGAATCAACAAAGTAACATGCATATTCAAGACATTCACATTGATAAGTAAGTAATGAGGATCTTGATAAATAGAGATTGATTTTGACGTTGGATTATCTAACAATATATCATGCTGCTTTTATTTTAGGCTTAACCCAATAGCCGAATTGGATTCTACAGGCTCAATATTAAGTGATCTTAACTGTCTATCAAAATCCGAAGATGACTTAGAGATCAGCACTGTTTTACAACAAACTCAGAAGGGTGGAAAGCGACAATGGAAGGAGCGTCGTCCCAGCAGCGAATATCCTAAAAAACGTCGTAGCTCATTGCACAAAGTTACAGAATTAAATTCTTCCGATAGAATAGTAGCCACTACTACTGTAGTTATGCCGAAAGATGGTGCGATTACTGCATCGTCTACGATTGAAGCTATACCTGGTGATGAAAATGCAAATCCTCAGGTTCCTTCACAAAATACACGCAAACGTCGTAAGAGTAGTGGAGAACATAACAAATCAAAATTGTCACACATAAATGCAAACGAAGTACCAATAGATATAGCAGTATGTTATTAAACTGTTTAATTTAACTAAACTACCTTTTTTACATTTATATTTATTATATTTATTTTTAGCCATCAGCACCAAAGGCTGAGATTCTTACATCAACTTCAGATACGGAAGATGTCTTTAAACCAAGTCCAAACATTGGTGGATATACTATGAATACAAAAATATCTAGGAATCACAGTTTTGCAACCAAAACTGTCTATAAGCCAGAAATGTGCACACCTTGCGGTAAAAGGTAAATTTATTCAGCTGAGCTAGATATCTAAACATGTCGAAAAGCTTATTGTATCTTTTGTCAGATTAATAGAATTAGATTTAGAAGAAAAAATACCCAAATGTTCCTTAATTTATTAATTAATTTATTCTTTAATCTATTGATAGAATTCGATTTGGAAAGGTTGTTCAAAAGTGCAGAGATTGCAGAGCTACAGCCCATATTGAATGCAAAGATTTAGTACCACTGCCATGTGTGCCAACAGGAAATACGCCTACGTTACGTGGTATGCCCGTGGGTATCATAAATTTTACATCAGTAAAAACATTCAAATCCATACTCTAAGATTTATTGGTAGCTGAAATATATTCTGGAACAGACATTATATTTCTAAAAATATATTTTGGCTCTAAGAATTTATATTCATATTTATTTTCCAGGAGAAACAAATCGCTACCGCCAGAAACTTTTTGTTTACTGATGGAGGTAGAAATCTAAATGATGAAACTAGAGAAAAACTGCAGTTTCTTAATAATACTTCTTTGAATCAACAAAGTAACATGCATATTCAAGACATTCACATTGATAAGTAAGTAATGAGGATCTTGATAAATAGAGATTGATTTTGACGTTGGATTATCTAACAATATATCATGCTGCTTTTATTTTAGGCTTAACCCAATAGCCGAATTGGATTCTACAGGCTCAATATTAAGTGATCTTAACTGTCTATCAAAATCCGAAGATGACTTAGAGATCAGCACTGTTTTACAACAAACTCAGAAGGGTGGAAAGCGACAATGGAAGGAGCGTCGTCCCAGCAGCGAATATCCTAAAAAACGTCGTAGCTCATTGCACAAAGTTACAGAATTAAATTCTTCCGATAGAATAGTAGCCACTACTACTGTAGTTATGCCGAAAGATGGTGCGATTACTGCATCGTCTACGATTGAAGCTATACCTGGTGATGAAAATGCAAATCCTCAGGTTCCTTCACAAAATACACGCAAACGTCGTAAGAGTAGTGGAGAACATAACAAATCAAAATTGTCACACATAAATGCAAACGAAGTACCAATAGATATAGCAGTATGTTATTAAACTGTTTAATTTAACTAAACTACCTTTTTTACATTTATATTTATTATATTTATTTTTAGCCATCAGCACCAAAGGCTGAGATTCTTACATCAACTTCAGATACGGAAGATGTCTTTAAACCAAGTCCAAACATTGGTGGATATACTATGAATACAAAAATATCTAGGAATCACAGTTTTGCAACCAAAACTGTCTATAAGCCAGAAATGTGCACACCTTGCGGTAAAAGGTAAATTTATTCAGCTGAGCTAGATATCTAAACATGTCGAAAAGCTTATTGTATCTTTTGTCAGATTAATAGAATTAGATTTAGAAGAAAAAATACCCAAATGTTCCTTAATTTATTAATTAATTTATTCTTTAATCTATTGATAGAATTCGATTTGGAAAGGTTGTTCAAAAGTGCAGAGATTGCAGAGCTACAGCCCATATTGAATGCAAAGATTTAGTACCACTGCCATGTGTGCCAACAGGAAATACGCCTACGTTACGTGGTATGCCCGTGGGTATCATAAATTTTACATCAGTAAAAACATTCAAATCCATACTCTTTTTTTTACGGAATGCCATTTGTATACAGGGTACTATAGCTGATTATACACCTATAATACCGCCTATGGTGCCTTCCATAGTAGTTCATTGTATTAACGAAGTTGAATTACGTGGAATGAACGAACAAGGTTTATACAGAGTGAACGGAGGGGCTGCAGATGCCAAAAATCTTAAGGATAAGTTTCTAAAGGGCAAAGGTGCTCCAAATCTTTCTAACGTCGATATCGCAACCATCTGTTCTACTCTGAAAGATTTTCTCAGGTACATTACTTATGGGTAAAATAGATGCAGTATATGTATTTACCTGAAAAAGAGAGAAAGAAAAAAAATTTGCGTATTATAGATCTTTACGTGAGCCGCTAATCACTGTCGCTTTAATGGGAGACTTCGTGCGTGCGACAACGTTAACGGATAAACAAGATGCCGATGCCGCTCTTTATCAAGCAATTTCAGAATTGCCGCAACCGAATCGAGATACTTTAGCCTTCCTGATGTTACATTTACAGAGAGTATCGAGTAGTCCTGAATGTAAAATGCCCATTAGTAATCTCGCCAAAGTTTTTGGACCGACTTTAGTTGGTTATACTTCCAAGGAACCATCTCTCACTATGCTCAGTGAAACCAAACATCAAGTTGCGGTACGAAAAACTTTCGATATCTATGTTTACCTATTATAAATAGATAAATAGATAAATACTTTAATATAATTTATTCTAGGTAGTAGAAAATCTGCTTCAAATTCCATCGGATTATTGGGCTACTTATGTGAATCCAGCGAACTCGAATGATATTTGTACTCCAAAAATGGGCGAATTAAAACATACACCTTCAACAGAATCGCTCCTTAAGCGCAGTATCTCCCGTGGTTTCTTCAATACTCCGCTTTCTTCCAGGTGAGTAGCGTCTATGAAGAGTAACTTGCTCATATTTAGTACATTATTTTTTGTTATGCATTTTCTCTTTATTCATATAGCCGTACTTTTGCTAGGAGAAACAAGAAATACTTTGCTACACCACCTTCCAAGGCAGGATACTAATGAGTAAATTTATATTGGTTATACTATAACATAAGTCATAATTGCACAGAAACTTGATATTTAATGGTATATGTTTATATGTATTTTTTTTTTGTAAATATGCTTATATACACAATAAACATTTCTAACTTTGTATTTTGTTTCTAGAGCGTTAACAATCTGCAGATCACTTATTGATTAAATTATTACACATATAATATTTCCTTATACTTACAATTGTTCCTTTTTATATATGAATGTGTATCTATACCCTATCCTATGATAGAAACAATTCGGTTCGCGCATACAGTAGTATAGTAAGAGTACATTCAATAGCAGGGTATAGTGGTATAAGGCTCTGTGATAGGGTCCCAGAGAGGACCTTGAAGCTTAAGTATACTCTGTCAGAATATTTCACAACTAAATTAGTACTTAAAGATCTGTACATGATGAACGAAAATTGAACTGCTTCTATCATGAAACAGGATAGATGCAATCGGGTTTTTTTATTTTGTTTTTTTAGTTTTTTGTCCATTTCAGCTTTTTTCAATCGTTAATATTTTCTTCTTGTTGCTATTTGATATTATTCTAAAAAGATATGCGCCATTCTCGAAAAAAATCAAAAGCAAGGAAAATAACAAAATCATACATAAATAATGAAAATATATGTTTGATATAATATATATAGATAACAGAATATGAAGAATCTTTATATTCATGTATGATAAATTGTAAGTTTTTTATACGCATGCATTTTCTTATTTTTCTTTTTATGCGTGTATTATATAAATATTGGAAAAGATAATCTTAAGATCTCTATAAAATAATCTTACATCAGAAAAAAATGTTGACTTATTTTATTGAATATAATATTGTATAGTGAGATAAATTCTCTCTTGAGAAATATACGCTGGGCCCGGAACGGACATCCGAGTCATAAACGGAGATAATAAAATTAAACAGATAAAAGAGATAAAAAATTATCAATTGCTTTATCGATTCACGAATAAACATGGGCGTGTCGATTATCGTATAGTTTTAACTTATCTTTAATATACAATTCAATGCGATATTATATCGGTTTATATTTTTTATTAGAACTGGCATGGCAGTATGAATTGCAGTATTCAAAGAGCAGTCATTGCAAGAAGTATGTATTACATGCATAAGATAACCCCCAATTAATTTAAACGATTTTTTGGAGAAAGCATTTTATTAAAATGGTACGTTTAGTTTTATATTTCGAGAAAGTTTAAAATAAATAAAACATTTGTGTGTGTATATATTATGTGTGTAACATGTGTATATATTTATTAAGAAAAAATGTATTTATATACTCTCGTGCTATAATAATTATTATACAGTTTTTTATATTATATATAAATATATATAATTAAATTAATATAATTATAGATTCATATATTACTACTATATTCTTTATAAATGTATATCTAAATTTTTCGTTCCATATAATTTTTTTATCATAATTATACAGATTTTCTGTCATTAATATTAATTAATAATAGTATAATTTTATTTATTGTAATAATATTCAAAACCATCTTTTACTATATTTTTAAAAGACATTTTTTATTCTATATTTGCAGAGATCCAATATCATGAAGTTTTCTTTTACGATTATTTTCGTCTGTTGGTCCACGCTATCAATAGCCAATGATATTCAAATATCCTCGGAATTTCCCAACTATATGAATGAGTGCGAACATCTGTGCAAAAATGAAATAATTTCCTTTAATTTTACAAACGCTAAGATAATCTCTATTGGTCGGCTTTTATCAGTAGTCCCTGGATTACTTGCCTCAATTTTTCGAACATTCACCTCCAGAGCATCGAGAAGGGCGCCTTCAACAACCCATACAGCACAGATCATTGCAATTATATTGCAGCAACATTGCAATGTTGCAAATTGCAATATTTTTCATCATTTCAATAATATTTTATCGTATTATACAATTATACAATTTTTATCAATAATGTTAATTAATATTAATACGATTTTGTTTATTATAATAATGTTATATTCTCAAAACCATCTCTTATTATATTTCTAAAAAAGATATTTTTTTATATTTGCAGAAATCTCCGATGAAATTTTCTTTTACAATCATCATTGTCATCTGTTGGTCTATGCCGTCCATAGCCAATGACGTATCTTTGGAATTTCCCAGTTATGTCAATGAGTCACTTGAAATTGGATATCTATGCAAGAATGAAATGATTTCTTTAAACTTTTCTAACGGATTGATCATCTCTATTGATCAAAATTTTATTAGTAGTCCTTTGATTACTTGTCTCAACTTCGCCGGCACTCATATCCAAAACATCAGGAAGGGCGCCTTCGACAAACTTCCTAATTTGACTCAACTAATTTTTTCAAACAATGATATCGACTTGAACAAACTCTTCGACTTTGGAGGTCACGAAAACTTAAAGATTCTTATTCTGGATAGTGTAATTAAGAATAATGTTCCCATATCATCTGCAGTTATTTCCGGAGAATACCCTAATTTAGAAATCTTATCTGTTCGTAAAAACCTCATCAATGACTTAAAAATTATTACAGAAACTCAAGTCTCTAAATCCAATTTCGATATATTAAGGTCACCTTCGCAAGTTATACAAAATATTCCATTCCCGAAATTGAAGATCCTAGATCTTTCCGACAACCGCATAACAGATACCAATTTTATGGAGCTATTGCCAAACAGTTTATACTTTCTTGACCTCCATGGTAACTCGTTCACTTCTTTTGCCTTTGATAAAAAACAAGTAAACTTGTTGGCACTAAACTTGGATAAGAACAATCTGAAATCTGTGAAGAAGTACAATGATTCGCGTGATTTATCTGATTCATACGATCAACATAATCAACAGTATAATTATAATCAATATCAATATACTCAAGATCCATATAATCAGTATAATTTACGTAATCCGCATAATTTTGGTCTCGTGATGGCCGGCCTGGAAAATCTACATTATCTTTCCATTTCCGGAAACGAAATTAATCGTATTGAATCAAACGCTTTCGAGGACACTAACAAGTTAGTTTATTTGAACTTATCCATAAATAAAATAACTCATTTGCATTCAGAGACATTTGAAAAATTGCAGTCTTTGAAATCGCTCGATTTAAGCCTTAACAAGCTCGAGAACGTTCCGCAAATCTCAAGTGAAGTACTTAGCATTTTGTCTCTTAATTGTAACAATATCACTAAGAATCTAACTATAAACAGTTTCGCAAAAATGCCGAAGTTGACGAAATTGTTATTGGCAGGAAATCAGATCGACGAAATTAATGCTCAAACATTCGCTCATCTTTCGCTTTTAGAAATGTTAGATCTATCGAGGAACAAATTGAGTTTTCTACCGGAAGAATTAAGTAAATCTTTAACATCATTAAAATATTTGAACGTGGAAAGTAATCAATTTACTTCGTTAGAGTCTTTATCCTTGCAGTGAATTTGCAAAGTTGCAATATTGCGGTGAAAGATTGCTACAATATGTATGCAATCTTTGTGAGCTGTATGGGAAATATTAGATCTGTCGAAGAACAAATTGAATGTTCTACCAGAAGGATTCAGTGAATCTTTAACATCTTTAAAATATTTGAATGTGAAATGTAATCAATTTACTTTGTTAGAGTCTTTATCTCTGATAAGTGTGTTATCATCAATGGAGGTGTATGTAGCGATGAATCCAATTAAATATTTAGATGTTAGCTACTTAAAGAGTTTGCCGCAGAATCTTACTGTGAATTTGCAGGAATCGGATTTTTCATACTGGAATTCCGATAAATGCGGGCCGAGAAAATAATTTCTTATCATCATTATTATAATTATTAATAGTCATTTATATTCGTAATTTTTATTAGTTATTTTACCTCAGGAGGATTTTAACTTATTCTCTTTTCTTAATTCCATGTTCTACAATTTTTATTTTATAATACTTTTTGATAAATCTAATAATTTTAGTGTTGTTTTAAGTTTTTTGGTGAAAATTATTTGTTTTACTTTTTGCGATTTTCTTCAAAACGAAACAAAAACGAGCAAATCTCTAAAGGACTTTTTGTCTTAATTTATCGGTCCCCTACACGCTCCTAAAGTTTTGACATTTAAATTGGGGACACCCTGTATAACAGATTTTGGTTCGTGATATGAGCTTATGTTAATTTTGGTGGTATGTATTTCACCCATGGTTTTAATTTATCTGGAGAGAGAATCGTATTATAAGGTTTAGAGGATACGTTAAATCCGGGGATGTTTTGCACGACATATCTATTTTTGTCCAGTACTTTCGTAATCATATATGGCCCTTTATAATTAGGCTTTAATTTCGCGCTTTGACCAGATTTTACATGAAGATCTCTGATCATTACGTATTCGTTGACTTTATATTTGCTTGGTTTCGCGTGCTTACTGTCGTAATATCGTTTATTATATTCACGTAATAGATTAGTTGCTTCCTCGGCTTTTTTATAATCCGATTCTCAATTCGCATTATTGTCTATATTCGCTAATTGTCTAATTAATTCTGTAAGATTTCTGTCTGTGTTATTCCGGTTGTCGTATCCTAGGAGTAATTTGCTTGGAGTGTTTTTGATCGCTGAGTGTCTAGTGTTGTTTATAGCGTATTGTGCTCTAGCTAATTGCGTGCTCCAATCGCTTGGTGTTTCGAATAATTTTTTGAGCGAAGATTTGAGGAATCTATTCACTTTTTCTACGAGACCATTAGCCCATGGGGCCGCAACAGCCACTTGATGGTGTTTAATTTGTAATGCTTTCAAGAAGTGAGTAAATTCATTTGACGCGAAAGCAGTTCCTCTGTCGGATACAATTTCTCGAGGGTAACCGAAAACATTAAATAAAGGTTTTAAGTGATTTATCACCTCTTTCGATCTTGTCGATTTCGTGGGAGAAAGCCATGTGAATCTCGTGAATGAGTCTACCAAAACCAAAATATGTTTTAGACCATCTTTTGTCTGTTGCAGTGGGCCAAAATGATCGATGTGTAATATCTCGAACGGATTAGTCGATTGTGTATTAATTTGCATTTCTCCCTCTCGCGTGTGTTGAGAAGAATTAGCGGTAAGACATATAATACAATTGTCTATGTGGTCGTAGATTCTTTTTCTCATCGACGGAAACCAATAAGAAGCGTGTACTCCTTGGTACGTTTTTTCGAAGCCACAGTGGGTTATTTCGTCATGGTAAATTCTTATGATGTTACTTATCATAGAGTCTGGTACAACAAAACGTGGACGGTCGGACGCCTTTTTGTAGATTAGTTCCTCGATTAATTCGAATTTATCGTTATCTATATATTCTAATTGTTGCGCCATATTTTTCAACTGTTCATCTTGCAGTTGCTTATATTCTAACTCTCTGTGTCAAAATTGAATTGAACTGATTTTTTCAATAGATCGTACAACGGTTTAGCTTTAGCGGTGTACCCTTTAATAAACTTACGAAAGTAATTTGTCAATCCTAGAAATCGCTGGACCTCATGTACATTTCGAGGTTGCGGAAAATTTTTAATCGCTTCGACATGACGCGCGCTGATAGTGATTTGATTCGCATATAACACATATCTTAGATATTCTATTCTGTTTTTCAGAAATTGACACTTGTTGAGATTTAATTTTAGATTATAACGCTTTAATTTCGATGTGTGTCATTCGGTGTCCAGCTCTATGTATTGTCTTAAATTTATATTCTTGTAAGCTTAAAGTCCAGCGCGCGATTCTAGGGTTGAGATTCGCTTTATTTATAGCATATACCAAAGCATTGCAATCCGTTACGATTGTGAATTCAATGCCGTACAAATATATGTGAAACCGTTCTATGGCCCAAACTATTGCTAACATTTCTAGTTCGAAGCTATGATAATTTCTCTCTGCCTGGTTCGCTGCTTGACTATAGTACGCAATAGGTGCCCAATTATTGTCGCTCTGTTTCTGCAAGAGAATTGCGTCTAGCCCTTGAGAACTTGCATCTGTATGGAGTTGCGTTTCTGCCGTCGGGTTATAAATGGCTAAAGTCGGGCTTGATATTAATTCATTTTTTAACGCGTCTAACAATTTTACGCAGTCTGTGTCAAAATTGAATTGAACTGATTTTTTCAATAGATCGTACAACGGTTTAGCTTTAGCGGTGTACCCTTTAATAAACTTACGAAAGTAATTTGTCAATCCTAGAAATCGCTGGACCTCATGTACATTTCGAGGTTGCGGAAAATTTTTAATCGCTTCGACATGACGCGCGCTGATAGTGATTTGATTCGCATATAACACATATCTTAGATATTCTATTCTGTTTTTCAGAAATTGACACTTGTTGAGATTTAATTTTAGATTATAACGCTTTAATTCGTATAATACTTCTTTTAGAATTTCTAGATTTGAGGCTACTGTTTCGGTGGCGATCATAATATCGTCAATATATACTATAACCTTCTCGGCGCGTATTAGCGGTTGGAGTATATATATTAGACGCTTCTGGAATTCGGCCGGTGCCTCGCAATATCCAAATGGAAGACAATTATATTCAAATTGGCCGTCCGGCGTCGCGAATGCAAAATACTTTGTGTGGTCCGGATGGACTCTGATTTGGTGAAATCCATCTTTTAAATCCAGTAATGTGAATACTGTTTTACTTCCTAACCGAGCTATACAGTCCTCGATTAGTGGGAAC